AGTTACAATTTTTGAAATTCACAGGACCAGTTCTAACCTGCTCTATAGGACCTCTATAAGTTGACAATAACTTGATGGCACTGAGTTGATTTGTGTTTTGGTTTGGAATCCTCTCAGAAATGCACTTGAAGGAGGAGCCCGAGTAACACTGTGGTTGAATTTTGCCAACCAAAATCCTGTGGTTGAAACCCATAAGCCACTCCACAGAAGGAAAACATAGCAGTTTACGTCTATAGCCTTGGACTCTACTGGGTAGTTCTACTCTGTCCTGAAGGATCATTGGAAAGTTACTGTTTTATGTATCAGATATACCAGAAATATTTTAGTATCACCAGTGCTGCGCTGGGAGTAGTGAAGAAGGTGGTGACAGTAAGAACACCAAAAATATATTTAATTTTGAAATGTATAGACTAAATTATTGTCCTATACAAAACTCAATCATACATCATTATGGAACAAAGACTGCAAAAGCTTTTTCCCTGAGAAAATGAGACCTAAAGTTTAAAATATAGATTACCGAATAATTTTGGCAAAAATTGCTTCAGAGAAAAATGGAATTGGAAATATCATCAGTATAAATAGGAATGAAGTTATAACATTTCCATCTGATATCAAAATAATCTTTATGTAGCTCCCTTGCTTTCTTTTCTTTTTTCATGAGGCAGGGGCGCAAAGAAATAAAAAAGACACCATTGTGAGTACTATTAATTTAATTTGATAAGACTCTTTAAAATGGAAGTTAAGGTGATACATCTCAGGATTTAGATACTGGAACTTCAATGAGGAAGTTTAAGACAGATGTCCAATACATTTAAGGTTCAGAGGGAAATGTGAGGCCCTCAAAACTGAAGAAGAAATATACACTAATTGGTATAGACCTTTATAAAGCTCCTTTCCCACTTACCCACTACTCTTCTCGTCGTCTCTCCTAGTATGGTCATGTTCATGTTGCTGTGATGCTGGAAACAATACCCCGAGGATTCCAAAGACCAGGATAGTCACCCAGGGTGGACACATTGCAGGGGATCTTTCCAGCTAACAGACTAAGAAGGAGGGCTTAGTGATTTACTTCTCAAAAATTGGCCACTGAAATCCTTATGAATAGCAACAGATCATTGCATGACATAGTAATGGAAGAGAAGCCGCTCAAGTAGGAAGACACCCACATTATGATTGGAGAGAGCAGTCTCTTCAAAGTGGAGCCGACCTTGTTAATATGGATGTAGCAGAGCTTAGGGACCTTCACTCGCTGTTGATGTGGCACTGCTTACAATGAGAAGAAACAGCTGCAAGCATCTACTGATAATCAGATTGTGCAATGTACTGGGGGCTTCAGTAAGTTGGTGAAAGCTTTTCATTATCTTTCCATTCATTTTCCCATGAGCTTCTTGAAGCCCTTTTTATAAAGCATGAATCTATGAGAATGGCAACTCATAAAAAATGAAATGGAATGCATAAAAATGAATATCTCATTTGACAATTGACAAGTACTGGCCAATTTTATCCCGATAGTCATATGGTTTTAGAAAACCAAAAGGGAAGGATACATGAGGCATGTATCGAGCTGAAAGAACTAAAAAAAAAAATAAAAAAAAATCAATCCTGGGCTTAAAATATTGAGGATTCTGTATCAGGCCCCTGAGAGACAGAACAAATCATACCCAATGTGAATGGGGTAGGGGGTGTGGAGTGGAGACCCAAAGGCCATCTGTAGACCATTGGACATCCCCTCACACAGGGATCACAGGACAGAAATGGGCCAGGGTGCAGTATAACACTGATGAAACACACAACTTTCCTCTATTTCTTTGGTGCTTCTTTTCTCCCCCACTATCATGACCCCAATTCTGCCTTACAAATCAGAGTAGACCAGAACCTGCACACTGCTACAAATAAGAGCCCACAACACAGGGAATCCAGGATAGACAAACCCCTCAGGGTCAGCAATGAGAGTAGAGATACCAGGAGGATGAAGGGAGGGTGTGGGGAGACAGGGAGAATCGTTTACAAGGATCAACCTAACTCCCTCCCAGGGAGACAAATAATGGAAAAGTGGGTGAGGGGCAACAGAGGATGATGTACGATATGAAAATAATAATGTATAACTTATCAAGGGTTCATTAGGGAGAGTGGGCAGAGAAGGGAGGGGGAAGAAGTGATATACAGGGGCTCAAGTGGGAAGAGAATGCTTTGAAAATGATGGCAGCATATGTGTAAATGTGCTTGGCACACTGGATGAAAGTATGGATTGAGGATTTTATGGGAATGAAAGGGCATCAAAAGAAAGGGCTCAAGTAGAAAGACATTATTTTGAGAATGATGATGGCAAAAAATGTACAAATGTGCTTGACACAATTGCTGGATGGATGGGTTGTGTTAAGAGCTGTAAGAGCCCCCAATAAAAGTAAGAAAATTATATATATATTGAGGATTTTATGGGAATGAAAGGGCATCAAAAGAAAGGGCTCAAGTAGAAAGACATTATTTTGAGAATGATGATGGCAACAAATGTACAAATGTGCTTGACACGATTGCTGGATGGATGGGTTGTGATAAGAGTTGTATGAACCCCCAATAAAATGATTTTTAAAAGGAGATGGAAGAAGCACACAGGGTAACAGTTTTCAGAAGAAGCGGTAGATGTTCAACCATTTCAGGAGGTAGCATGTGACCCAGAACCCATGTCCCTGAACGGCTGGAGAACTCCAAGCTGCACTGGGGGCGTTGGTGGAACGCAAGGTCCCAGGAATTGGTGCTAGAGACTCCTTGCAATGTTTACGTCAAAGGGACCCAATACTGAAAGGGCTCACTTACCTGGACAATGAATTTTGGAAAGGACCATCTAAGTGCAAAATTGAAAAAAAGAAAAACAAATGCCATCAGGTGGCTTCTCATTTATGTGGTTATTTGGTGCCAGAGTCAGCTCCCACCCATAGCTCCTCCACACACAACAGAATGAAGCCCTGCACAGTCTTTCACCATCCTCAAAAGTGTGCCTATACCTGAGCTCATTGATGCAACCTCTGTGTCATTCCATCTCATCGATGGAGAGTCTTCCTCTTTTTCGCTGCCCCTCCACTTTACCAAACGTGTTGTCCTCCTCCAGGGACTGGTCTTTCCTAACAGTTTGTCCAAAGTATGCCGGACTAAACCTTGCCATCCTTGCCCCTAAGGACTACGTGGTCTTACTTCTTCTGATACAGATCTTTTTGTCCTGTTAGCTGCCCATGAAGCTTTAAAATGTTCTTCCTCAGCACCGCAATTCAAATGTACCTATTCTCTTTATGATCTCCCTTATGCAGTGTCCACCTTTCCCATGCATGTGATGCAATGGAGAATCACTCATACCCCCCTTTATATTTGTGCCCCTCACACAGAAAATTGGTCCAATGGAATATAAATGCTCTTGAAACAATATCATCAATAGCACACACAAATAAGATTTTGAAAAAGATAATTTTTAAATTACATCAGTACATCGACAGGGAGCTGCCAGAAATTCAAGCCAAATTTAGAAGAGTATGTAAAATGAGGGATTATCTTTTCTGAAGTCAGATGGATCTTGGCTGAGAATAAAGCATACCTGAAAGATCTTAACAATGTTTCATTGATTAAGCCAAGGCATTTGAGAGGATGTACCATAACAAATTATGAAGAAGATTATAAAGAATTGGAATTCCAGAACTCTTAAGAGGGTTCATGTGAAACCCTCATAGACCTTATAAACAGAAAAAGTAATGAAATTGTCAAGGATTTCATTTTAGTTGCTGCAATCAAAACCTATCGAAGTAACCATAGAAATAAAATAATGTATTTAATAAGGCAAACCTACTGGATTAGGCCTCTTTAAAGTATTCAAAACCAAGTATGTCCGTTTGAGGACTAAGGTACACTTAACTGGTGCCATGGGGTTCTCAGTCACCTCATATGAATATGAATGGTGCACAATGACTGAAGAGGACCTAAAACAGAGGTGGTAAGACTTTGATTCACATAGTTTGGACAGGACATCAGTAAGGACAGGCCCTGGAGGCAGCCATCAGGCTTTGGAACATAGAGGGTCAGCACAAAAGAGGAACCCTCTCCACAAGGTGAATTTGCACCATGGGTTCCGAGATACAACTATTTGAACATGGAACAGGGCCAGTCAGTTTGTTACTCGGTTGTCCATTAGGTCACTAAGAGTCAGGGTGGACTCAATGGCTCCCAACAGCCCCATTGCTGTGTGTGTTTTGTTTAAGGGGGGAATCCCGTCTCTATCTATGAATCATACCTAGATTCATCTTATGAATTGATCTCTGGTTGGATTTATTACTGACCTGTAAAGTTCATTTTTGAAATGTCTTTACTTTCCCTTTGCTGAATGGCATTTTACTTTTTCCTTCACTATCTCAGCAGAATCAGTCACTCAACAACCCCCCCACCCCAATAAACACAAAACAACCTTTTCGGATTTTAAACAAAAGTCTTTTTTTTTCTTTGTTTCTCTTTCAGGAAGTTGATGGCAATAAAGTTATGTCTTCATTTGCCCCACACAACCCATCTACCTCACCTCAGAAGGCAGAAGAAGGTGGGCGGCAGAGTGGCGAGTCCTTGTCTACGACAGCTCTGGGCACCCCCGAAAGGCGCAAAGGCAGCTTAGCTGATGTTGTGGACACCTTGAAGCAAAGGAAAATGGAGGAGCTCATCAAAAATGAGCCAGAAGGTAAAAGCTGGGAACGTGCACTAAGTTGCTATTATCTCCTGGTTTAAGTAGTTTGACATTAACATCTATTTCTCTTTTATGGATGGGGAAAAATGGAAACCTAACACTGGGAAGATGGGCAGCATTTTTTTGAAAATAGGTAGACATACTACCTTGGTGATCATTCATTTTTGATGTGATGTCTTCCTTATTTTTATACATGAAGACATTGTGATTTACTGCAACTTAAGACATTTAAGGGTGGACTGTAGCAGGAAGGCACATCCAGAACAGGCACTCCGTGTCAAATAGCTTTAGTTTAGTTTTCTCCTCTCCTTCCTTTTGTCCTATGATCCTTTTGTCATTTCATTACCATTTGTATCAAAGTGTTATTCTTGTAAATGGGTCTTTTTCTTATATATTCTCCAGTTAGTATGGTTAGCCCTATTATATATTTATAAATTAGCTCTTTCTCACACTGTTAGATATAATGAAGTTCTTATGTGTTCAATTTCCAGGGTACTATTCTTTTAGGAATTATCTTCTAAATCCCTTTAATCATTATTGATAGTATCCCTTAGATGATATTCATATTAACTGGTCTTAAAATTATAGCAAGCAACCCAATAAAACAAATCGTGCAAACTGTAACGGCTCTGAGAAAAATTAAAGTATAATTTACAGTCATACTGCATGTTACTGATGCTTACTAACTCCTATTCAACCTCTGCCTCCTGTTTTAGTCAGATGGAAATTTCAAATAAAAACAAACCAAAAATTAACAATCAAAACAAAAAGACAGCTACATGCAAATAAGTACTTAATACTGCCCCACCCCCTCAAAACAGTTACTGTGTTTATGCTATGTAACAACATATTGGGATAATTTATAATCTCTTATTGTTATAAACATTGGTAAATTTTGACTATATACTGCACAAAAAGTGTTAGCCAGCAAATGTGGTAGTCACATAACACATATTTCAGGTCCCTTTCTGATGCATAACTAAGAAAGCGTGGTGTTAGGTTAGAATGGATATCGTTGAGGTGATCTTGAAATTAGAAGCAATTTTACAGATAATGTATTTAGCCAGTGACTTTTGATATTTGCTATTTTATTTCTTCTTTGTGTTTTTTAGTTTTCCTCATTGGGGTAGATATGAGTCTTTGTGAAGACACAAAAATTTTGGTTTGTTTTTTAATATGGTGAGGATTTTTTTCCCTAATATTGACAACAATCTGGTCCTATTAGATTAGTTAAAAGAGAAAGAAAAAATATAAGGAAGAAAATTAAACTCATCCAATATCATAAAATTGTATATACTACCTCAACCTTATAAAGCATTTACTTTTTACCTTTGTTTTCATATGCTAATCACTTCACACAATTAACTTTATAATTGATACATTATTTGCATACTTTATGCTTCATTTAACATTGTTGCATGAGCATTTATTCTGCCATTAAATATACTTTTGGGGGAAATGTTCTGACAAGGACTATGATATAGATAACGACACAGGCACTTATAATCCACACAGTATATTAAAACAAAACAAGTAATATGCATTTTTGAGGATTCTAAGATTTATAGAAAAGTTCAATAGATAATGCAAATATTTCTCTTATTTTTACCATCTTACATTTGTATGGTATAGTTGTTACAATTGATGAGCCAATATTTATACATTGTTTCTAACTCAAGGTTATATTTTTTAATGTACTTTATGCTTGTCCCTTTATGCCCAATACTCTAACCATATCACTGCATTGCACCTACTATTTATTTATTGACTGTTTCATTATCTGACATTTCACATTTACAACTTTGAAAACATTCTCAGAGGGTATCTCTGGTAGCTCAGGCCACACATCGAGCCTAAAAGAACACTGGGCCACCTTCTGTAGACCTGAGAGCTACCAGCAGCCCTGGTCACAACTGGCCTATCCAAGTAACTCATGTATTTCTTCTGTCCCCAATGTTAGTATCAGTCATTTCTCTATGATGACGTTGTTCCCTTAATTGAGGAAGGTGATGTTGTTTATTATCAGACCTTTCATTTGACCTAGCATAGAAGTGTGTGTGTGTGTGTGTGTGTGTGTGTTCATGTGTGTAGTGCAAAAAAAAAAAAAGGCAGTGGTTCAAATTCACCAACCATTCCACAGGGGGAAAGATGTGGAAGTATACGAGTACGTTTGTAAAGATTTACACTCTTGGAAACCCTATTGAGCTGTTCTTCTCTTTCCTATAAGGAGCCCTTGGTGTCTTAATGGGTTATGGGTTGGGTTACTAACCACAAAGTCAACAAGTTGCTTGTACCCGTTAAGTTGCTCTGTGGGAAAAGATGAGGCTTTCTGCTTCCATCACAGGTCTACTGTGCTGTGGGTTAGAATTGACTTGATAACAATGGCTGTTTGTGTGTTCATTTGGTAATGTACATACCTCCATTGACAAACTTACATATGCACACACATAGATATGTATATATCCTTGGTTCTTGGTCCTCCTGTGCGATTAGTGTTGAGATGCAAGCCACAAGGTCATTAGTTCAAAACCACTAGCCACTCCGAGGGAGAAAGATGAGGCTGTCTGTACCCATGAAAATTTGCAATCTGGGAAACCTTAAACAATTCTACTCTGCTTTATCGGGTCATGATGACTAAGAATTGATAGGATTGAAGTGGAGTGTCTGTGTGTATGTGTGTTTCTACAATATCAGTTCTCTAATTTTGTTCTTTTGATTAGGATTATATTGAATCTATGGATCATGTTGGGAAAATTTGACATCTTAACAATATTGAGTCTTCCTATTATGTACATAGAATATCTCTCTATTCATTTTGGTCTTTATGTGTGTTTATTTTTTTCCCATCAGAATTTTGTAGTTTTATGCATCTAGAATGTGCACATATTTTGTTCGATTTTTACAGAAGCATTTTTTGTGTTAATGTAAATAGTATTGTGTTTTTCATTCAAAATTGCAATTGATTATTGATTGTATAAAGAAAGGTTTTTCCTTTAGAATATTAACCTCATACATAAACCATACTTTCCTTTCTTATTTCTAGTTTGAGCTTGTTGTTGATGCTGTTGTTACTTCTTTGTGATTATATACATGCATAATTATGTCATCTCGCAGCAAAGACTATATTTTAGCCTATCTACCTACCTTTATTTCTTTTGTTTTATTATATAGGACTTCTAATATAATGTTGTCTATAAAGTAGTATGGAAATTTCCTTGTCTTATTCCAAATGATAGAAGGAAAACATGTAGCTGTTTTCTGTTAAGTATAATGGTCACTGTATGTTTTTGTCATTGACCTTTAAAATCATTTCTGTTCCTAGTTGGCTGAGAGTTTTTATCATCAGTGAGTTTGAAATGTGGTCACATGCTTTTTCAGCCTCAGTGGATATGATCATAAGACTTTTCTCCTTTAGTTAGTTGATGTGTTTTCTTTAGTTAATTGATATGTTTTGATTATATCAGTTAACTTTAAACTATTGAATCAGACTGTCATTCTGGAGCAAGATCATGCAACATTGTGTTTTATAGCTATTTTTAACTATTGTTGGATTTTGTTTGCTATTATTTTCTTGAGGATGTTTGCATTTATGTTCATGAGAGAGATTGATCTAGTTGAAGAAGATATGAGTCTTCCTATCCATGCACAGTTCACACCATCTTTTATTGCTATGGTATTCTTGTTACAACATATATTTTCTTTGATGTGATGCCTTTATCCAGTTTGGCTGTTAGGATACCGTTGGCATCATAAAATGAATTTGGACAGGCTCTTTATGCATTTCTTTTTAATTTTTTAAAATGGAAATAGTTTGGGGCCCAAGGATATGATCTAGAAAAAAACTAAGATTGGGGGATTTATATTATAATCTGAGGTATCTTGCTATGCCCTTTTTAGAGAATATCTTTGATGTACAATTGGCTGATGACCTTGATATTCCCCCAGTGCATCATTGTGGCTTGCAAATAGATGAGCAAACTCTTAATTTGAGAGTTGGTGACATGCTGGGCTCATTGACTCTAAATGAGGGCATGAAGAAGACAGGGCCCCCTCCAAACATTTCAGTGGAAGCCATTTAAAGGTAGTATGAACAAGGTAAAAAGTGATGTGTCCAATTAAAGGGACACTGGCCAAAATACCGGTGTGTGACATCCATTTCTTTTAACAGGGAGCCTCGGCACAAGAAACATCACTATGGCATGTGGACATTAGATTGTTTCCATTAGTGTGTTTCCTGCAACGTTTTAGAATATTTCCCCCCAATACATGAATTAAAAGGTCAACTCATACTTGCCAATGTGTAATGTATAAAGACCATTAGAGATGATCGTACATAGAATGTTTATAGAAGGCTGCAACATGAACTGGCTAAGGCACAAATGTAAAAGCCTAATTTTAAAAATGTATATATATATATATATTTGAGTATATAACAACTAAACTGTAATATTGTTTACATACAAGATTCGTAGGTAGGTATTTTGAGTACACTGAAATTGGATCAACTTAGTTTTAATGTTAAAGAATTTCGGTATTGCAGGAATATTTATTTAATAAATACAATTCCAGAGTGGTGCCTCAAAGAATACTGTACATATTTGAGAAAAGTAATGATGTTAACCAACAACAAAAATAAATACACGGTAACAATAAAGCTTAAAAGTATACTATAGGAAAGCATCAGAATGGTAAATAAATTATTTTTCTTCCTTAATGCCAGAGAGAATAATGGGCACATTAATGCCAGGGAGATGTGATAAAGGCTTACACTAAGTTGAAAGTTGCATTGTCCTTAAACACTGTATTAATTAATCAAAGGGTATGACTGACCCTGAGAATGGACATAAGAACCTTACATCATCCTAGCACTAGGACAGTGACATTGTGTACAGTACAAACACATGTGATGAGAGCAGCAAGAGAAAGCATGGGGTGTATGGAGCGTGAAGAGAAAGGGTGAGTAGAACTGAATGTTAAACTCTCAAATATATGCC